TCTTTTCCTAGCAGAACACTGCTGCATTGACTGATTCAGTAGATTAACATTCTCACATGAATATTTTAATTCAAAGGCTTCTAAATCTTTTTGGTTTGATTCCAACTGGGGTGAGGAACACCGTACCCATGGCATCTGCAGTCCCGTTCTTGGCAAAGAACAGCTGGTTTAGTTTATGACTGTTGTTAGTGCAATGCCTCTGCTTAGCTAGAGATGATGCTTGAGCCTGTCTAAGTTAGAAGCTTCTCACGGTTGGCAGAAAGGCATCTACTGCTGGAGGTGATTCAAAGCATTTGGAAGCAGCCTCTCCACTTAAATGTCCGACACCGAGTATCAGTCTAACACCCAATTCAGCAAGGTGCTGCAGCTTTTAAGCTAAAGCATGTCACAGTAACTAATGTAACATAAGTATTTAAACAATAGCATAAAAATTCCGTAGTTTAAAATGATTGCTTACTCCCAGGGAGAGAAGGAAGAGTACAGTTTTAAGGCAGTACCTGGGGAGGGGAATTCTACTGTGAAAATTATCGTGCTGGTATCTACAGGCGACTGCTGCACTGCACCCACAAAAGGTGTGCCCTGAACTTTGTGCTTGCAGCTTACTCGTCAGAGCTGTGTGTGCACCGTTCCCATCTGACAAATTCTTACACAATATAGGAGATGTTATTTTTTAATGGCTGCACGATGAATAGCTGATGCTGGGCACTCTGCCTGCAGGGGCTGCTCAGAGCAGCACGATTCACAGGTGGGACCATCTAACTTCTGCTGGTAACTAGAAAGCCCTTTTATTTGGCCGGGCGGGTAAAGCAGCATCCAACCTGCTCCATAAACCAGGTGCTGTGAAAGCACTGGGCCCACGAGCCAGCGGAGTGGTCTCTCTTCTGGGCCAGGCTGGAAATACTAGCTAATGGCAGCCCTGTACCCTCTCCAGCAGGAAGCCCACGTTTCGGTGTCTCTGTACCCCACAACTCACCTCAGGTACTGAGCCTTGGTACCCCAGACTGCAGCGAGGCAGACGAGTCTGCTCTCTGTGCGTTCAGCGCTCGGCTGCTGGGGGAACTGTGCTGACAGGCAGGTTCGGGCGTCTCCAGAAGAGCACCTCTGCCTCGAGCGATGCGCTTCTGAAGTTTTGTCCTTCCCCTTCTTTGAGGGCCAAGACTTTTCTATAGGTCAGGCTGTTTGAATTTCACTGTCCACCTAATCTTGGCTTTGACTCTTACACAGTAGCACTCCTCCTTCGTTCCTTCCCTTACCCCTAAATTTTTGCACTGAAATTGTGCATGTTTTGTCAGCTGCTACGAAGAAATCCAGAGCGGCGTCTTGGAGCTGGAGAGAAAGATGCTGAGGATGTGAAAAAGCATCACTTCTTCAGAGTGAGTATAAGCTAATACCATTTCTAAGGACACTAAGGAGTAGAGACAGAAAACTAAACAGCAGCTGGTTTATTTTACAGCTAATAGATTGGAATGCTTTACTGGCCAAGAAAGTAAAGCCTCCTTTTGTACCCACCATTAGAGGACGAGAAGATGTTAGTAATTTTGATGATGAATTTACCTCTGAAGCACCTATCCTCACTCCACCGCGGGAACCAAGGATACTTTCAGAAGAAGAGCAGGAAATGTTCAGAGATTTTGATTACATTGCTGATTGGTGTTAACTTCTAAACACTGTGAAACCCCCGCTGACTGGCTCACAGGAATGCCTCTCTCAGAAGACTATCGACCCTTCAATTGCTCTCTGTGCCACCTGTAGCTTCTGTTTTTTTTTTTTTTAAAATCACATGAAGATCCTTTTAAGTACTGTTTTAACTCTTGTGAAGAGTGGCCTCTTTGTATATTGTTTTTTATCCGAGCACTGGAAAGCAGGTCTATGGAGCTCTAAAGCTGAGTTGGTGAACCCAGGCTGTACGAAGCCTCCCACGCACGGGCACACGTGGAGCTGTACTGTTTCTCTCACTCTTTTGCAGCAGATAACATCACTTTTTAAAGTATCTGCCTTAAGTGGGAAAAGCCGACTGAGCTAGGTAATCACTTATCTCTGCTCAGCCACACTGAAGTAGAAGTTTGGGATACTGATGACACTCGCACAGAACATGGTTGTAGCTGGAGAAGGCAAATGATTTCAGTTAAATGTTACCTTGTGCAGTCTATAAAACTACACCTTTCTATGTACACCTTCATCTTGTGTTCTTAAAATAACGGTATGGAGAACAGATATGCCTTGTTTTGTAAATTTTCTATGGTATTTATTAGGAAAAATGTTAAACGCCTTGCCTTTGAGATAACAGTGTAAGTGCTTCCATTACAAAGAAAAATCCGGAAAGTTTACCAAAGCCACTTGCCAAACAGTTTTGCCTTCAAGCTTTTTAAGCATGGCTTAAAACCCTGGTTGATATGAAGAATGTAACAAAGATGTTGCTCAGTCTAACCACAAAGAGCAAAGCATATGCATTCCCAAGCCCATCCACTTCTGTACTCAAACTCTCGCCTTTCCCACTCTCCGAGTGGGCAGATAAGTTAACCAGTCTGTATCTAACCCCCTAGATCATCCTGTATCTGCTGTACAGTATCATATCACTTTTAGAAAACATAAGGATTTTCAATGTATACATGCTGTGAACATGTATATTTGGAAGTTGTAATGTATTCTTATGTCCAGGCAAGTAATTTAATTATACCACTTCATTAATTTTGCACGGTGGCTGAGTGAACAACGTAGAACTGAGTGAAAAAATATTCATATATATAGAGGCCACTGAATTCCCAAACACAGATTGGCAGTTACTGAGGGTAAAAGCAGTATGTTGTAACAGAATGTATAAATATTTTTTATAAAAACTGTGTATTTTATAAACCCCTTAACACTAAAAGCTGTACCTCAAAAGTTGAAAAATAATTTAGACCAGGCACTGTGCATACTTGTAAACCAAGTCCTATCTTTGGCATCTGGTGTTCTGTGGGCAAACTGTAATTCTTGGAAAAGAAATTTCCCACGTGGTCCTTAGCTCTAGGCTCATTCTGAGCTGACAGCGTGGGCCACCTTGCAGGTTCATCCTGCCCAGGAGTTTGCTGTTCATGGGCTAAGGCAGTGAGAATCAGCACTCAGATGAATTTGAAACTTGTAATTTTATTCATTCAGAGGAATGCATTGGCACTTGAGCGTGCAATGCTGAGGTGGTGGTTTAAAATCATGATGCTGGACAGACCTGCAGGGTCAGGCGGGGCATGGAGGGGGGGCTTCAGAATTTAAAAAAAAAAAAAAAATAGTTAATAGGTCCAAATCAGGCAACCTCCCCCCATCTCCGCCCCGCAAGAACAAGGCAGGCATCTTTATCAGCACTGCAAATCATGTTTGGCAGAGTGAGTCAACTTTTCATCATTACTTGTTTCCAGATTCTAATTAATAAGAAACAAATTATGTTCCTGTATCTAGCTGAAACCAATACTTTTGAGGTACAGTCAGCTCACCCTTTTCGGTTCCCAAATATATGTATGAGCATCTAACAGGGTGCTTAACACTTATGAAAGTATCCTCAAAAACACCTTTTTGTAACTACATCTTGTACAGAAATCTTTTTTTAATCTATCACTAAAAAAAAAAAAATTTAAAAAAAAAATTAGAGGGCAGGGTATGTTCACCCAGTTAAGCTGAAAGAAAGCACTAATTTTATCTCTGTAGTTTTTTAAATATTTTTAGGCAGATTAAGATTTTAAACCCTAGATTGTAAATATATTTTGCTATACTTTATCTGTATGTGGCTGCTCAAGCACTTTGTAAGGAAATTAGGATATTTTAGAATGGTACACTATGCATTAAAATGAAATGTGCCTTTAACAAATGTCATTCTAAGTGTTTTGCAGTCATTAATATCACAAATTAAAGTTTTAAATAGAGTAATTTGTAAATTGTGTCCCAGATATGATTTTGCTGTTTCTTGAAGTAACTTGTCATGTTTTTTCCACAGGGAACTTCAGAAAAGAACTTGCAATCAGGGGGGCACTTACAGAACCCCAGTCTCTCAGTGGTAGCTCAGTGTACTTCCATTCATTTTCATTTTTTTTTTAATCGAAGTAAGTTATTACCTCTGAGCATACCTTCTTTCTGAAGCTGAAGGAAAGCGGCCTCATCTTGCCTGGGTGAGCAGTCCTGCTGCAGGGAGCTGGAGAAGACCATGTGTCTCTTGAAGCCTGGCCAGCTTGAATCCACATCCTCCCTTCGAGGGCAGGGGGGAGACACCACTCACTCCACTCCTGCGTATTTCTTCATTCTAGTCTCTTTCCTCCCCCCCCCATTATATAGGAAAGCTCTGTAAACAAACAAAAACCTATAGCAAACCCACAAGGAGCTGGTTCTTTAAGCAGAGAATGAAGTTTTCTTTACTGAGTGCATTTAGGAAAGAAATCTTTATTCTTAAGTTCAAACTAAAGTTTCACATGGAACCATCGCCTAGAGCCACTTAACTTCAATACTTCACTAAGCAATCATTCCAGAAAGGGCTGCCTCCAAAGGAAGATACAGTTTCAAATCTGCAGTCTATCTGAGTTCAATGAGCACAGGAGGTGCCTGAAGACACTGCCCTTGCCTTTGCTGTGGGGGGGGAACGCAACCCTTCAGCGCTCCCAGGCGCTGCCCAGCCACCTCCCAGCAGCGGGTACAGGTATGAGCAGAGAACCCCAAACCTGTCACCACCTGAGCAGCAGCCACTCTCCTTGCTTGCACTTTAGGCTCTACGTGTCATACAGCCCTTGCTACCACTTAACCAAGCGAACACAAGAAGGGAGTTAGCTGAACCAGGCGGCCGAGCTGCAGCCACCTCTTCTCCAGCTCCGCCCCGGGAACTCCAGCCCCCCCGCGGCCCAGCAGCTCCAGCCAGGACCACAGCTCGCTCCTGCGTGACACGCTGCTCTAAGAGAAGCCAAATTCCTTAGCTTCAGAGAAACAGCTCACTAAAAGAGCCTGTAGCTGCCTAAAAACGAATTCAGAGTTAGGCTATATTTGTCCCTAGAATGCTTCACATTAACCGTAGTCTACAGGGACCAGGAGTAACCGGGTTTCAGAAGACTCAGCCCCTTCAAGCATATTCCTGGTTCTGCCTCTCTGGGCTGCACAGTTCCTGCCCCTCCACCCCCGGGAAGGTGCAGGGACTGCTCCCAGAGCCGCAGGAGGAGGCAGGGTCGAGGCAGGAGAGCATGTCCCTGCCTCCATCTGCTGCCCTCCCACGCTTTGCACAGATGTACTGAAATTTCAGTGCAGACGACTTCTGTATGTAACAATTTCAACTGCAAGCACTCACCGTTCCCACGTCATATATATTATCCCACGGCATAATGCCCAAAAGCATTTAAAAGAGCAGCATTATTGTAAACAAAAGCTTCAACCATTTTTAACCTGCATGTAATAGGTTTAACATACTGATCTATTGTGAAAAGCACCTTCACAGTAGAAGAACTTTCACCTTTGCATTTCCAAACTGTAACTACATTAAAGGTCAGGCCCAACGCATCACACCTCCTCCCACAAAGGAGGCAGGCAGAGCAGCTCAGAGCAAGACAGGGAAAGCCCAGGTTATAGAAAACGTTGCAACAAAGTTTAAGGAAATACATTAGACAGTAGAATACAATCCCTCCAAACTACCAAGAACACTTGTAACATCTGCACCAGAATTTTTCATGCGTACAACCCAACAGCTTCAGTGGTGTAACAGAACTGTACAATCTTTGTTATCTGGTTACAGAAAAAAAAGTGTTGAGCTGTCACATTTCAATAGTCTCGACTGGCAGAAGAGGATTATTAAAACTAAACCAGCAAGAAAACAGGGAGGGCTACTGACAATTAGTGCCATTGGCATGGCACACACAGCCTTCCCTCTGGGTGGCTTTGGACCAGATGTGTAGCAAGCTGACCCCTCAGCTGTTCATTTTGGTAATTAAAATGAATTTGCACCTGTGATACAAAATTAACCCAGGAACTAGAAGACTTCCAGTTAAGTACAGTTGTTGCTTTGCACACAAAGGGACACTGTCAGGAGGAAACTAGTTTTCAAAGCTGTTCTTTTGGGGAGGCCCGAATAACTTCTGGCCTTCGCTCCTCCGCACCTGGCGCATCGTTTCAGACCGGGAAGCGCTCACTGCCAACACCACCGTGCCAAAACCTCAACCCTGGGCCAGACTGACAGGTCAGAACATTTAACAGGGACTTCCACTAGCCACATTTTTTACCTTCCTGTGTACATACCAAGCATCACAAAGTTGTCAGGAGTTCAACTAAAGAGTCCTTATGTTTCTCTTTAGCTGCTACATCATTACGTCAAATTCACAGAAGCAAAGCAGAGACACATCAGTGAAAATCCAGGAGACTGTGCCAAGGATGCGACTAATCCCTTCACAACCAATTTGGAAATCTTCAGCAGCAGTTGTGCAAATATTCAAACCACTTTTCAGCAACTGCTTGCACTCTGGGTTAAGTCACCCACGCTCTACTGTACAGCTAACTACAAATACTGAAGCCATGCTAGAGATTACCAGTTGTCAAGAAAGCGAGTGAGCGTTGAAAGAGCCTGGTGACCCAGCCCGTAAGTATGAAGCCAACCCTACCATCCTATGGACTGCATTCCAGTTCTCAGCATGTGCAAGTCAAATTGCAGTCATATTCACAAGATGGTAAGTGTTTTTGGAAAACAGTTTATTTGGGAATTACATAATATTTTAAATTTTCCAAAATACATCTTACTAGATCCCTACAAAAGAAAACTAAATAAGTACAATAATATGAAATTAAGCTTGTTGCGACAGTCATTAAATATTTACTTCCACTAATATATACATACAAAATGCCACACAATGAGCTTGTTTACCCTTGGAATGTGTGCTGCGTTCCAGCAGTTACGCTCCATCTCCATATCCTCCAGTTCCACAACATGAAGACTCAATATTAACACTTTGTACATCCTTTATTATAGGCAAAAATCAAAAGTTTGTTGTCGTTGGGGGTTTTAAGAGAAATTAAAAGTAACCCTCTGCAATTTCACAGCTGTGGTAGTTTGTCTACTGGGGTGTCAAACTTGAAGTCTGCTGGGAAGAGATCTGGAGCTCGAGGATAGATCAGCCTGTACGATTGTCTAATCGTAACGTCAGCCACACCAGCAATATCACCGATTTCTAAGACAAAAAGCAGATAAGTGATTAGTTTTCACTTTTGCCATTTGTATTGAAGAAACCAGCAAGCATATTTTAATCAAGTAGCGCTATACACTTCGCTTAATTCATAACTCTCCCAAAAGCCTGGTAAAAATGGTGACTAATATTTTGCATACATGAGTCTGTCTTCTCACATGCCATAATTCAACTTATGCTATCAACCTTGGAATAATATCAGTTTCAAATTGGCAGAGGGCCAAGAATGCAAAAATCATTAGAAACATCTACTGCAAATTCAACACGTGCCCAGCAATATTCTAATAAATCGTCACCAACATCAGGATCTTCATTGCGCTTTAATTAAATACAAGCAAAAACAGTAAAAAACCCCTTAGGCATAGACAAAAAGCAATACCTTCAGCTAAATATGAAATACATTCACCCCAAAATGCACAAAGAAAATAGCTGGATACACAGAGCACTGTAACAAGCAAAGGCAACACTTGTTTGGGATGCACAGAAACTTAAAATTTATTCAAGATCTAACCAAATTTGGAATTTAAACCTTGACCTGCATGAAAGCCTTCAGCATTGTCTGAAGACACTGAAGGAATATGGAGTAATGTCTGTATCCACGGCAGGCAGCTGTATTTTGTTTTAACAATCACTCTTAAGAGACATAATCCAATAGCTCAAAGCAAGCAAGGATTAAGGCACCGTACTGCTCGGGCTCTGGATCACTCACATGCCCAGGAAACTGCCAACATGATGAAAGCTCCAGGAACAGAATAAGCAGCAATTAATACAGAACAGAGTGCCACAACCTGACAGATAAAGGTTAGTCTTTACTTAACAGCAGCATTCCACTAAGAAATTACTAGTTTTTTAACATTTCTGATCCGAACTGGACCAGACACATCTACGGAGCTTCCACAGCCAGCTCCCAGCACTTGGATCCATCTGTCACACACCAAGTGCTAACCACCACAGCCTTAGCTCCCTGCCTTCCCCGCACACTGCCCCCACGCAGGCCTCATTCTCTTGAGCCCCAGAGGCTGATCCACGCTGCCCTCAAGCTGAAGAACAGCCCTGAACTCTTTCCTGGCTTCCTAAGGGCTACCCTACCAGAGGAGAGTGATGCCAAAGGCGATCTGCGGCCAAGCCTGCCATCCCACCACTTTCAGTCTTTATCACAGGCTTGCAAGAAGTCAAGGAGCATATACTAACTTACATGATTCCCTGCTACAGGCCCAAGTTTGCATGTGGAGTATGTTGGAGCAGCAGAATGCACAAATGCAAATACTGGCATGGGTAAAGTTAAGATTATGCTCATTTGAATGCGCTAGTCTACTGCGTTCAAGAATCCAACTCCTAGTGCCAGAAGAAAGCAAACTCTGTTTACATTAAGCACAGCCAATTACTCAATTTTCATTTTGGGGAGTGGGAGATCCTGGTTTGGTCTTTGCTGTGTGCAGTTAGAATGGCAGCATATCACTGCTCATGCAGACCTCATCCAAGTTCTACAGTAACACTGAACTTTTTCAAGCAGCAAGACGCATAGAAGGAAAAAAAAAAAAAAAAAAAAAAAAAAAATTCAAATTTTACCTTTCTGTGTTCTTTTCTCTGCAGAAGCCTGTGATGCCATGTAAATAGCTGCAGCTGCTACAGAGATAGGGCTTCTCCCAGGAACCAAATCTAATTCCACAGCTTTACGAGCAATATGTGTTGCTGCCATCTGTACTTGTTTGGGAAGACCCAGATTAGAACAGAATCTTGACATGAAGTCTCCAGTCGTAATCAGATCAACACTGGTTTCGAGAGCTTTCAAAATAAGTTTAAAACACCGGCCTATTTCCTTCTTTGAAATCCTGGACACTGCACATATTTCTAAACAAAGAATAAAAATTAAACTTTAGGCTTGACAGCATTTGCTCCCTCAAATAATCAAATTTGATTCTCAAAATATTAAGACCCACAAAGAAGGCTAATGTCATGAAGGCCACTGTCACTAAATAAGCTTTGCACATTTGTGAAACTTTCAAATCACTTCAGTCTGTGCACATTTTTCATAAAGAGCAAATTAATATAGCTTGCTTAGTAAGGGAAATCGGGTACCCAAAAAAGTTGTATCCCTGTCAGGGAAAAGTTGCACATATTTACTGCAGAACTGTTGATTCAAATTCAGTTACATCAGTCCTCATCATCCTCCAATCAAAGCACTACCTCTTAAGTTTCACCAACACTCAAAATTACTTTCAAACGCTAAATTTTTTTAATGCATTATGACCAAAAATCCCATGCCTGAGAGCCTACTCACTTCACAAATATTACTAATTTCCAGACTCCCTCCTACCCTCCACCCCAAAGGTGAGCCGTAGCTGAGGACAAGCAATCCAGCAAAGACCAGGAATGAGAAAAGCAACCTCCTACAGTGACAGTAACTAGACCTTTACTTCATGGCAAAATTTAATCTTTATTGCTAAAAACTTACCTTTAAATGTTCTTGGAACACCCTCTTGCCTACAGGCTATGTAGAGACAAGCAGAAGCAATAGCATCATTACTCCTTCCCTTCAGGCTCTTTTGCTCATACACTTGCTTGAATAAATTATTTGTTCGATCCTTCAAAGCAAGAAGACTAAATTTAATTAACTCTAGGCCATTTAATTAGCAGCAATATCAAAAATTCATGTGCTCATTATATTATGCTAACTAAGTCAATGCCAGAACAATTCAAGGAAGAGAGACATGAACTTACAACTATATTTCTAGGGAGGTTGATTCTATCTGCCATGTTCGTAATTTCTTTAAAAGCATTCATCATTGCACGATCAGAGCTGCTCATAGTTCTGCGATTTTGGTACTTTGAATTCCCAAATTCATCAAAACTTGCTGCACCTGTGCCCTGAAAATAAAAATTTTTATTGTCAATAAAACACAAACAACTTCCTCTTCATTTCAAGCACAAACATCTTCCAGCTTTAATACATCTTAATTCAAGGCATTCAGTTGAACAGTTGTACAAATAAACATCACTGAAGTAAATCATACGATCGAGCATTATTCCAAACACCAGGTTCTATAACTTGCACAAATCTCAAATCATTAATTGATTTCCAGAAACCATAGATTATGCAGGGACTTTTCCTTCCTAATGTAACAACAGTTTTAAGAATAAAATGAATAATATGTAGCCAGTGTGTGACACCAATGCTGAGGTCCAAGATTAGATTTTATGCAACCCGTATGTCATTTGGGCTGCATCTGCACTGTGGCAGACTGGCGAGTCAGAAAAACAAAATTTTATGGCCAACTGGAGACCAGTTGTTACAATGATAACTCAAATATGAAAATGAAGGCATCAGCAAAGAGAACATCCAAACCAATGACCTATTCAAAACCAATTTGATACTGTGCCTGCTAGCAGGTGCAAGCCTTAATTGTGGCAAAATGTAAATATCCATATATTCTGCCTTTCCAGGAAAACCATGGACCTCTTAAAAGAAAAGCCTGAGGTTTTAGGAGAAGTAAGAGCCACCAACTCAACCTGGCAACTTCAAAACAAGCTTCCAACATGCTGTTTACAACTGATAGTGAAAATTGCATACTTCCACAAAATATGCAATCGATTTTACAAGCCTAAGGGGGTCCAAAATGTTTAAGATCTTCAATTAGCCATCAGTCTGAAACATGTCTTTGACAAATAATACCATGTCAGATCAGTAATAGCTGATGACAACAACGTGGCCTGTAAGTTCAGAAGAGCAATATCTGTAATTAATATTGTCTTACATGTTTGCTGTCACAGTGTGTGGGGCCATGAGTTTTCAAGTGGCAAACACTTCTTCACAACAACTCCACATCATGAGTAGAAACCTGGATTCCCTGATTCAACAGGTATTTATTCCTTGCTGGCACCTTCAGACAATTTGGCTGGGCAGAGGCATCCAACTTTCATTGCAAACAGAGGATACGGTAGCTGCTGCAGACACAGACTACTGCACTGTTCTGTTTTGCCAAAAAAATAAGTAAGCATAAAGCAGATCTTGATCTGTGACTGACTGCTAGTCTGGCTATTGACATCCAGCACTTGCACACAGAGATCTCAAGCTGAAGACTCCACAACATACCAGGATGCCCACATGGTACAAAGTGGGGCCAGGACACAGTGAACAGAGGGCAGACCATGCCCCAGCACCACCTTATTCCTCTGAGCTGCCCAGACGGAATCAGAGCTTGTTTCTCCTTTCCTGATCCACGTTCTCGGGAATTGCCCTTCTATTTCTAATTCTACAGTCTTTCCCTGGTGCACGTCTGCATTTAATACATGTTCTCTGGCTGACACTAACAGCGCTCACTCTTGACCATTCTCTTACAGTGTTTCTCTTCCCTACGCCCAAGGACTCCAGTTACACCCCATTTCGGATGAGCACAGCAATACCTCTACTGCTGAGACCTGTACCCGTGGTGCACACACACTGGTAGGGCTGCGGAGATGGAGGACTCTGGCACAGAACCCTCCCTCACAACCTTCCCCAGCCCCTTGAACAGGTCCCTCTATAACAGGTGCTAGATTCGACTCCTTCAAACATCCTTCTAGATGAAAGAACCACACAGAAATGATCCTGACACTAACACAGCAGAGGGCTGCTTCAAAGGCAATCCTACATCCTTGGCAGGATGAACACCTCCAACTATCCACAGATTCCCAGTAAGGTTTAAAGGTAAACAAAGAATAAGAATCAAGTACAACAAACTTCAGGCCACTACGAGCATTACAAGCATATCTGCAACACTAGACCCTCCTTTCAGAAATCATGCCAGAACTTTCCTTGGCCCAAAATATACAAAAGTCTCTGGTAAAAATGCTCCTTCCTGGCCATCACTCATACCCCTGTTCCCTGCAATGCATTACAACATTTATGGGCATCATGGTCTCCTAGACTGGCACCATACACAAACGCTTACAGCGCCTGCATGTCCTCAAAACCCTGTAGATGCCAGAAGAGTGAACACAAGGGACTATCAAGCCTGAGAGCAAGTCCCCAGTCCCTGCCTGTTCAGGCTTCATGCCAGATAGTCCTTTACCAGGAAACACTGCTCTGCCCTGAGGCCACCAAGCATTCCCCTTTGCCACAGGGATTTTCCCTGTGCCACTATACAGTACCTACAAGATTTATTTCTTTTTGGTAACGGTTCTCCATAACATCTCATTGTTTACTTTCTTGCTGGTATTTATGATTACCTTTTCTTCTGAAGGTTTGATTACATATATTGAAACTACCAATGCAGCTATAGACAAGTACTGTTAGCCAGAGGATTTTGCCCTGTCCGTATGAGCACTCTCAAAGAGCCATAGCCGATATACAGCTCTGTGGTGGGCTGACCCTGGCTGGATGCCAGGTCCCACCAAAGCTGCTCTATCACTCCCCTCCTCAGCTGGACAGGGGAGAGAAAATATAACAAAAGGCTCATGGGTCAAGATAAGGACAGAAAGAGATCATTCACCAATTACCATCACAGGCAAAACAGACTCAACTTGGGAAAATTAACTTAATTCATTGCCAATCAAATCTGAGTAGGTGATGAGAAAACAAAACCAAATCATAACACACCTTCCCTCCACCCTTCCCTTCTTCCTGGGCTCAGCTCTGCTCCTGATTTCTCTACCTTCTCCCCAGAGTAGCTCAGGGTGACAGGGAGTGGGGGTTGCGGTCAGCTCATCACATGTTGTCTCTGACACTCCTTCCTCCTCAGGGGGAGGATTTCTCACACTCTTCCCCTGCTCCAGCATGGGGTCCCTCCCACAGAAGACAGTCCTCCACAAGCTTCTCCAACATGAATCCTCCCCACAGGCTGCAGTTCTTCATGAACTGCTCCAGCGTGGATCCCTCCCAGGGGGTGCAGTCCCTCAGGCACAGACCGCTCCAGTGTGAGTCCCCCACAGGATCACAGCTCCTGCCAGCAAACCTGCTCCTGTGTGGGCTCCTCTCTCCACGGGACCACAGGTCCTGCCAGGAGCCTGCTCTAGCACAGGCTTCCTATGGGGTCCCAGTCTCCTTCAGGTGCATCCATCTGCCCCAGCACAGGGTCCTCCCCAGGCTGCAGGTTGAGATCTGCTCCACCACAGACCTCCCTGGGCTGCAGGGGCACAGCCTACCTCGCCATGGGATTCACCACGGGCTGCAGGGGAATCTCTGCTTCAGTACTCGGAACACCTCCTCCCCCTCCCTTCCTCACTGACCTTGGTGTCTCCAGAGCTGTTTCTCTCATTCTCACCCCTCTGTCTGGCTGCAAATTGGTGTTGCGCAGCAACTTTTCCCCTTCTTAAATGCTTTATCCCAGAGGCAAAACCACAGTCACTGATGGGCTCGGCCTCGGCCAGCAGCGGGTCCTTCTTGGAGCCAGCTGGCTTTGGCTCTGTCAGACATAGGGGAAGTTTCTAGCAGCTTCTCATAGAATCCACCCCTGTAACCCCCCCCACCGCTACCAAAACCTTGCCATGCAAACCCAATACAAGCTCATAACTATAACAGGGTTGGAAAATACTCCTTCATCTCAACCACTTAAATAAACCACAGCAATTCTCCCTGAATTTGTTATTTAAATGCACCATCTACTTTCCCTCTGGAGCTTTCAATTGACTGACAATGCTTTGTTACTTCCATCCTTGACAGCCATGTTAGGAGTCCCTTTCCCTTCATGGAAAAAACAGAAGTCATACAATTTTAACTGAAATCAAATAGCCAACAGCTTTGTACCCCAGTATATCCCCTTTAATAGCAGAAAGTAGAAGTATCACCAACATCAGCCACATCATTGACTTGAGGCTATCCACAGCACCAAGGAATGCCCCCAGATCCACCAGTCTTCTTGCCCAGTACAACCAGCTCATTATACAGTCTGACTGACCCTTTCTTCTTTTTCAATCATCAGCCCTTGGCACCTTGACACTGCTTATCAATACAGCACTTCTGGATCCAGGCCACACAGACTGACAAGAGCCAGCTTCCTTTCAGAGGAATCTGATAGAAGGATAGGAATTCTATACCAAGAGATGGCATTAGTTTCTTGTTTGACCAACTGAAAATCCCTCATAGTTGCAGTCACTACAAAAAGGAATAGTTTAACTACAAAAGGTGACAAAAGACAACTTTTTCCACAAGACAGGTGGCAAAACTTAAGTTTTCTTTTAGATTCATAGAAAAGAGTTCTTTATGTCAAGGCAGATCTAGAAGGTGCTCGGTGAGTTATTTTTCTTGAATTTTACATAGGGATTTTAGAAATAACTATAATATTCTGGCAATTGAGTCACAACCAATGCCAGACTTCGCATGTCTCCAACTGATCTGCATTGTCATCAAATCAACTGCAGCACACAGTATTTACTTTCAGAGAGATATAGTTCTGTGACAGTATCCTAAAGATCTGCCTGAAGAATACAAACCACTTCCACCCCAGCCAAATATGCTATTCATTCTCCTTTGCAGACAAATTAATCTTTCTTCCAAAGCAGGCTGTTGCTGCCTCAGACAGATGGGTCCCTTAAGTACTAAAACCAATTAGGAACTAATCCCTTTGCATGGGCAGAGCAGCCTCTTTTTTTTGCTGCAAGCAGATACAGACTACATATCCCCCGCAGAAAGGAATCCCAAAGCAGCACCTCTTGGTTTCAAAAAGGAAAGTGACAATTCCGTGAAGCAGAACTGGCCCCCCTCCTTTACTATTTCAAGGCAACAGCAAGTCACGAGCACTTCATTGTTGTAACTGGCAAGTGGGTCGGACTCCACTTCCATCTCCATTCCCAGGAGTTTACAATAGATCTCGAATATGATGCGCCATGAGAATTATCAATGTCCTTCTCTTTTGGATTTTCCCTGACACAGATGGTGTTTTGGGAATTTTTGGGGGGTGGTGGGTGGTGTTTGTTTTAAAGATTCTATTATCTGCAGCTCTACCTCAAGCAGAAAGGAAACCTCCCTGTTCCCAGTCCCATGCAGAAGGCTAAAGCAATCTCTGGCACGCAAATCTGGGGTCCACTCCAGGCCATTCTAAGAATTGTTGTTAACTGAGAAAACGCAGTCTTACCCTGCTTCATTCTCTCAAATTCATGAAAGCCATTCTGTACTCTGTCGGATACTACTTATCTTCATGACTACACCGATTTCACCCTTGTTCAACCACTGTGCGGATCTAGATCAATCCTCATCCCAGCCTACTGGCTGGCAAGGACTTCAGAAATGTACCACTTCCTTGGTTTAGGCTTTTTTTGCTGCAAAACTCATACCCCTTCTGCACTGATAGGAGATTTCTTCAGCATCTTCTGGTGTAAGTCATTCTCTTCCTTCCAAATGACTGAGGAAAAATGCAGCTCCTGATAGAGAGTTCACATCAATGAGCTGACATCCCCGAACTCCTGCTCACTGGCAAGACAAACACAGGAACTCTTGTACAGAACACATCCTGGTTTGTCAGAGATTCCCCATTTCCTGTAGAAAATAATGTGTGTCTTCTGTGATTCCTCCCCATGCAAATAAAATATCCGCAGTAGGACAGACTGCTCCCTCTACATTCTCCCACATGATCGTGACAGTTCCAGTAGTAGGACATGTTTACTCAGAGTTCTCAGGTTAAATCGTGCCACGCTGACATTCCTGCACCTTGTCTTCACTGAACAGCACTCTTTGGTCATGCCTATTCTGGGATCTTCTGGTTAACAGCAGAACTGTTTCATTCTATGAACGTCCTCCTCTAAAAATTTTTAGTTTTCACTGAAAAAAAAAAACCTTTCATAGATGTTTCTTTATGTCTTTAAAATTCTAAATGGGGCTCTGAACCTCCACGGAGAAGAGGGTTAACAGCACAAGTCACTTCACTGGAATACAAATTCTATCTTCAGCTGAAATATCTTTTGTCTTTTCCAACATGCAGGTTCTAGGAAAGCTCAGAAGGTCATCCTACCTACTGAATCAAACTGAGCCCCCAGAAACAAACCCTGTACGTACACAGTCCCAAAACAAGGCAACAGTGTGAACCTGGAGCAAACAGTCCATTTCTCCATCTGTCTATACAGGTTATTTCTGACCTTTACCATAGCTGACCAAATCAGTAACAGAAATCCTAGCCCTGAGAACTACATTCTTTCTGGACATATACAAGTGACATTAAAACTCCAATGACTTCTACAGCACTGCTTAACAGAGCTACTTAGCAATGCCAACTTTTTTAATGGAGCGATGCAGAAATTTGTCTGCCTGAAAGGATTCCAAAAGCCACCACAAGGCATCCTAAAATCTGGTGGGCAGCTATACTTGGAGTTGTCCAAAACACAAGCATTTACTTGGACAGTACTTTGAACAGAAGGTCTCTTTTCACCAATGGTGAAAGATTAGCTGTCCATATCAGTAGTCATTAGTCACCTTCATCTCTTTGAAGAATTCTTGATATTGTGCACACTCCCCTATACTATATCTATCTACATGCATATTTAGGTATGTCAACTTCTTCATTCTAGTAACATCACTGGAACAAAAACTTCTGAGAAATCCTGGTGTGCATGTACCACAACACACAAAGCAATGATACATTTTTTTAATAATTCTTTATCAGCAACTGGACCATCTTTCATGAAACGTTCAAGAAACTCACAAAAATCAATTTGGATCTTGAAGTAAAAAAAATATAACACAAAATACAACAATTAAAACTTACCTGCATTACTATTTCATTAAAGGGAGTGCATTTACGCAGTTATTCTTGTTTGCTCTCTCATGGCATAAAGCAGGATATGGCTACACCACTAAATTTCAACTCAAATACATACTGAATACTTTCTTCTGGAGCAGTCACACCATGAAAGAATTCCACATTTAGTTCTTTAACGTTAACTGGAAAAACACATACAACATGTACGTAGATCTCTGGGTCTCCAGTATGAATCTGATTTATCTTTTATTACAAAAAAATGACAGTTACAAGTTGGGCAGTACTAGCTATTAAGGCCTCACAACTAAGTATCTGTTATTTCAAAATCATCTCAAATACACATGATAAGTCAAAGTGTTTCTTTAAAGATTGCAACATCAGCTTTCTATTTATAGCAGCATACCAAAGAGTGGCAAGTAACCCCAAAGAACTACAAACTTTTCTTTTGTTGAAGAGGTCAGACCTTTCCTGCTTCCCCCAGGAAAAAGCCACACTTTACGGATCATTGAAATGTAAGAGTTAAGTTTGGACAAAATTTTTTGTAAATACATTCTCTTAATTTCCTACAGACATACAAACATGTATTTGACAAAAACACTCAAGCTTAGTAAAATTTAGTATTTTAAATATTACCTTGCCAATCATTGTACTCAAGTCTCCATCACTCAACAAAGGATTCTGGGTATCCCCGACTCGAGATGGATCTTTTGTAGCTTTGTCATTGCTGAAAGTTCTCCACTCTGACCCTACGTCTATGACCCGGTCACCTGAGTTCACAGAAAGCAATAATCTGCATTAATGTAACATTTTGAAATATTTCATGAAACAGTAAGTTACACATCTGAGCTCTCTGTTATAAGGCAGCAGTCTGTTGGCATCCCCAAACAGAGAAGTCACTTGCAAGACATTATATCAAAATGTTTAGGAATCACAAGTTAAGTTAAAGGCAAAAAGAAAAAAAAAACTAAAAATGCAACTAGAGCTGCACATTAAACATAAATAACTAGAGAAATGCATCCAGAACACAAAGTTACAATTATCCTTAAAGAGTATCACGGGCTTTTCAATACACAAAAGGAATCAAGACCTTGATTTCAAGCTAGAGGTTGTGGTTGCCTACAGTTGTTCTCATCACTTAGACAAATAAGTAATTTATTGTAATTTAACAAGTTGAACACATGGCAAATGTGAGAGAAAGTGCAAATGTGAATTAACTATCATGCATATTCTATGCATGAGGTCCAGGTCCTTGGTACTCTGAAATATGCCACCTTCCAACCCACCTAATGGCAATTTGCAGCTCAGTTCTTGTTCTTGAAGGGACATCTGACCCTGCCCAACTCCACTTCATTTATGATGTTTGATAGTATCAACACACAATATATATATACACAACTATTTCTTCTGAAACTCTGCCTGCCCTGTTATACCTGAAAGAGTTCAAATACAGATACAGAGTAAGCAGAAAAAGCACTAAATCCACATTCTCTGAATGAAACAACTTTCCTTGTAGTCCTCTATTCATCTCACATTCATCTAAACCTTCTCTACAGCAACTTTTCAGATTGAGAAATAACCCTAACCAACATCTAATGCAGGCAAAAGCCCTACAGTAATCACAACGGTACAATCTTAAGAAAAAAACAACCAAACAAAAACATAGCAAGAAAACAAAGCAAAACAAAAAAAAACCCACCAAACAACCCCCTGCTGTTGGCAGTGCAGTTCATTCTACTCGCAGATCTGCTAAAAGCTGCATCTCAAAGGTGTTGCCTCCAAAGCAATACTACAGAATTGTTAAGAATACTTGTACAGAAAAGGACAAAAGAACACTTTCCTTAGTATTTTGCAAAGCAGATCACAGCTCTGTGTAGGATATCAGAATAAACTTCAATATAATTGCTACCCTGCTTTGCTAAATGTGAGGAAAAAGTCACTGCTTTTATCATTGTTTAAGTGCGTTGTGAAAGAAATGTCTGTAAAACAAATAGCATTGACTGCATGAAAAATTTCCAGTATAGAAGTCTTAGTGTGAAACCACAGAGGCTGATTTAACCTGGTGAAAACAAGCAGACAGACAAAAGCACTCTGCAAACAACAGTAATACAAGACACAAAGCTGGAGAAAACAGAGGAGCAATGGACAGTGGTGCAACTGCACAACTACTGGGGGGGGGGGGGCGGGAATCTATTCTCAATGAGGAACTTTATTCTTAATATAAAATTATGCAGGGAATATGCTTGAAGTTAAAAGCTGTGAATGAACTGTAAAAAAATCACCACAAACAACAAGAATAAATTTAGGTTAGAGGTGTTCTCATCAATATTTGCCAGACATGCTCACAGCTATGCTCCACTTTTATTTACTGCTCTAATGAAAACCAAGAGAGGGAGGGGGAAAAAAAAAAAAAAAAAAACACACACAAGACCCCCACAAAACAGAACATCAAAACCAAGAAGGGTAAGTATATAGCTGAGTAAAAGAAGGCACAAATTCATTCTCTCTGCTGCAAAGGTCTCCCCTCCCTGCAAGCTTAAATTAGTAGACAGCATGCTCCTCTAGCTCCTGGACTCTGTAAATATTTGATTCAGTAATGCTCCTTCTATGGCCTAGCAGTAACTTTAAGACAACCCCCCAATACTGTTTACAGCATCTAAAAAAAGCAAAATGTACTTAAAATTCTGGCATGGTATAAATAGAACACTGAGTACAGGGCAATGATGTAATATTTTTTCCACACAAGTGGGAATGACCTAAATGACTCACTCAGGGATCTGCCTCTTGTGAGTTATGAACCATTCCAGCTCTAACAAAAAAAGTGTTATATCACTGCCTGCTTTGGCAAACATATTACAAACAGAGGATTGAGACTACTATTTCAAAGTGAGAAAAGATTAAGTAGAACAAATCACTGAATATAAAGCATTCGTGTAATTAAGATGCGGTATGCAAATATTTGTATTTTGCCAAGAAATGTGCTGTTGCAGAAAATAAGCTTTTCTGTATACTCCCAGTGTCTTACTTAAAATATACAGTGGTCCTAGAAAGTACAGTTCACCTTTCAAAAGGCTTCTATGAAAGTGTGACACAAAATAGAAATATTAATGAAAATGGAACAGATAGGCCAAAACTATCCATAGATAGAAAATATACTCAGTTACAAGCAGCCAATTATCCCAATTCAACACAAAAAAAAAATTGTGGCATTTACTAATTTTAACTCTTCAAAACATAAAAACCACTTTAGAACTGTGATGTTTTTACAGATGTAAATAAGCCCTAGCCTAAGTGATTGAAACAAAACCTTAAAATATGAAAGTTAGTCTTACAAAAAGCAGTGTAAGGAATCAGCCTTTAAGACTAGTCCCAAGTTAACATTTCAAGTACTTAACTGAATTTGCTGGGTCATACACTACTGACTGGCTTTCCTGAAGCACCTGGAAAATAGGGCTGACAGTCAAACATAGGAGTAAAAAAAGCTCCCAATAAGTGCCTTATAAAATTACCTCTGCTTTCTCACATCATTATTATATTGGTTTTGGCAATGGCATCGAGCTGCGATACATATGGGAGTGGCTGCATATTCCCTTCATTACTTCCTTTTGATTAAGTCCTTCTGAACAAAAATAAGCTTCACTAGATATGGTTACAGTAGACACTCCTTTAATTTTCATCAGATGAGTTCATCTCCTCAGCTTCCTCCACTGAAGTACATACCAAAAATGCAGTTTACAGGACCAAATCTTTGCAGAACCCATCTCCAGACTGATACCCTGAAGCATCTTCCTGAACATATGAGTTTTTCTTCATTGCCCCATTTAATTTTGTAAACCATTCTTCCCTTATTCAATTACTCTTTAGAATAGAGACTAAGAGACTAACACATAGGCCTTAGTGGAAATACACACTGCAAACTCCACTGACTCAGGTTACCCACCATCTGAAAAGCTCATTTAGTAAAATGCAGAACTGTTATTCAGACTAGAAAACCTCAGACCAAGGTTACTTTTCTTCACAACTGCCAAATACAAAGTGCATGCGCTACAGAAATGCAAGAGTAAACTCAGGTCAGTATCAAAAATCAAAATATCATTTTGATCAGTTTTTTAAAATTAGCTTAAAACATCTACACATCACCAATTGTGTATGTTTACTTCCCTCCTAAAAACAGAAAGTGATTTCTCAAAGGAAAATATTTTCATTCAACAAGCCCTGAATTTGCAATTACATATTTATAGAGAAATAATACCAGCTATTTTAATGTTGCACTCTACTTGCAACAACTCATAATATACATGCATTTTATTCTCTTTCTGCATGTTGTACTACCTGTTATATGAAGACAATATAGCTGCAAATTTAATATGTTTCATCAAAACAAGAAATAGGATGAAATTCAAGCCTCAATTAATGTTTCTTCCATATCCAGTCTTGAAACAGTCCTGAGAAGGTATGTTCTTAAGTCTTTTTCAGAGAAGCTCTGCTGTTAGCTGTACATTGCATCAAGTTCTATGAATTATTAACTAATATTTTAATCTTAACATAAATATGGTAAAGTTTATTTGCACTTTGAATTACCAAAATAGCTATTGTTTCTACAGAATGTTTCATTCTTACAGTTAGCTGAGGAATCTGCTGCCATCTAGTGAGCACACATATTATACTTTTAACTAAGTGTTTTACAATGCCAAATTAAAAAAAATAAATATAGAATCACAATTAATTTCAGTCAACTCCTTATTAACCACAATAATGAGGTGCTGAGACAAACTACAATGAAAAACCTAGGTAGCAGACTACAAGCTGAGGAGAATCGTGAAGACACATAACTGCTCTCTTCCAGGCTAACAGTCTCAGCTCTCACCTTCTCCTAGTATGGAAGATACTCCAGTCCCTAAATTACTTTTCCAACGTTCTGCTGGACTTGCTCCAGCAAGTCTCTACTGTTCTGGTACTGAGAAGCCCAGAGATAGACATGTTACTCCAGACACCTACTCCTCCACATTCTATTTATTACCTTACACACTGCCCCAATATGTGGTACTCAGCTTTATAGCTTCCAAAGCATAAACTTAACTTTTTGTTTGGTTTTCTTTTTTTGTTTGGTTTGGGTTTTTTGTTTGTTTTTTGTTTTTTTTTTTGGGGGGGGTGTGTGTGTGTGTGTGTGTGTGTTTTGTTTTGGTTTGGTTTTTTTTTAAGTTTTTCATCTTTAGAACTTCTATTTAAGACCACATATATTAAATATTACCAAAGAATAAGCTCTTGGTAGAGGGTGGGGGTGTGAGTTGTCTGGAATTTTACAGTCTCAGCTTTTTCTACAAAATTTCCAGCCTTTGGTAAGCTAGCAATATTATTTGCAAAAAATTATCTTGTTTTCAATAAATTGTCAACATCACAAATGCATTACCACCAACAGCAACACCAGCCTATTCACATGAATCAGCTGAAATGACAGAACCAGAATAGGTTTTGAGATGTTAAACAAACAAAAAAATTCACAGAAGACCGACTAGTTTCCAGACATCATCAGCATCATACCAGTATCAACAGGCAGCTATGGATTGAAACAGATAGTATAAGCCCTGTGGGAAAATGACTGTTATAACAACACAGGCTTAGCAGCTCCTGCATATCAAAATTATTACAAATATAAAAGTACTTCCTGGCTTCCTAAACCATCAACTTGTAATAATTTTGGAGGAAGCAAACGAGAGTAGAAATGTTAAACAATTTGGTGGACAAGTCTGGTCAGTTGAAGTTAGACCTC